TTAAAAAATGCAAACCACGAGAGATAATTTTTATGCTCAGACGAGTCGGGATTAAAGTAATATTGATAAGGGGCGATGATGACGAGAGGTGTAATTTTCATTGCTTGTAGTTTGAAAGGGTAAAAAGCGACCTTTACGCTTAGAAATTTAGCTTCATATCTTGACGTAAGGGATGTAATTACGCGTTTTAAATGGAATTGTTTGCACCCTTTGCGATTCTTCAAGGCTAAGTCTTTTGATTCATTGCTTTTATCGAACGCAATATCGGCAAAAGCTAAAATTGAGAATTGTGGATGATTCCGTTATTAAATTTAAATTTTTAATAGTAAGTATTGTGGAAAATGAAAGAATAAGAAAATATAGTATACGGTATTTAACAGAAAATCAATTAGAAGCTAAAAAATGATATAATTAATGTTCTTGTGAAACGCGACGTGTAATGCCTACAAAATTATTTTAGCATCAATTCTTTATTGTATTGCACTCATTCTACAATGAGTGTCTAATTAATAATTCCATTTTGTTATTGTTTGTAAATATAAATTAATATTAATTTCGACTTGTGAGTGTTAAAATGTAATTGAGTTCAATAAAATATAAAAATTTTCCAATATACAAAAAAACAAAAACAATGCTGCTTAAAATCTTATCAACGTATTAATTATAATAAAATAAAAACCGGAGATAAAGTTAAACTTTTCTTTTTAATCATTCATTATCTGAGTTACAGATATTTATTCTATTTCCTTTGTAAAATCCAAAATCCACTCCTAACAAACACATTAATGAATAAAGCGATGAAAGTATAAATACATATTGTGAAGTTGGGCAAGTTAATAGAGAGAGTCCAAAACACATTACCCCAAAATCTGTTTATTCCCCAAATTACAATTTTTGATTTTTGTCTGCCACTAAATTTATTAGACTTAATTTAAATTTTTAATTTAAAAAAAATGTTTGAAAATTGCCTGTTATCGGAAACATAATGCACCAAAGCGGCGCTAATGTTCACTATCTGGTTGTTAATCAATTTTTTTAATTAAATTTTGTTGAGACGGCTGTTAATATGGCTAAAAATTGTTAAAGTTGAATTGAAATAATAATGGCACACCCACTAAATTGTTCAAAAATTTATTAACAAACTATAGTTTTGGATAAAAACCTATCATCACATATCAAAAATAAAAAAAAATCAGCTTAATAGAATTTTCCATTATTAAGCTTAATAAAATTTTTCATTATTAAATAGAGTGCAAATTTTCCAGTTAAGCTGGATCAAACTTGGCGTGGAATGAAAAATTTTGAAGGTCAAAAATATTTTTTTCTATTTCGGTGATAGAATAAGTCTATTTCATTCCACGCCAGAATTGTTCCAGCTTCACAGGACAATTTCTTTTTACTTTACTCAATAATGAAAAATTCTTTGACGTTAATTCTTCATTTATTTATTAACTCATTTAACTCAATTGCACCTTTTAAAACATTTGTATAATGTTTTGTTCTTAAGTTTCAAGAATAGGTATTTCATGGAAAAACATGTGTCAGAAAAAATTCTATTCCCAAATATTGTGTACCTAGTAGTGAAATTTTAAGTTTTGCCATTATTTCAAGAATTAATTTTTGATAAAGTTTCACTAATAGTAACGAATTTAAAACTATAAAACTTGTGTTGTCTTCAAAAAAAAGGTAAGCTTAATTGTTAAGTATTGACTCTTAGTGTTGGAAAAACTTGTTTAAAGTAGGTACCTAAGTTTGTAAAATCGTGAAACTCTATTTTGCGTGTGATAAAGGTCCACGATTTCACAAAATTTGGTACTTTAAACAATTTTAGTAAAAACGCTTTGTCAAAGATGATTTCTTTTCTACTTTAAAGTATAAAAAGTTAGTCAAGGCACCTATTTTTAATAATGTAAATTGTCATTATTACTTTATATATTAAACGAAATATAAATTTTAGAAGCAGATAAGATTCCAAACGACTCAGTTTACAGCAAAACCTGTTGCATTTGGTCTCATTTAAACAAAGACAGAAAACAATTACTCCCAAGACAAGGAAAACTGCAATTTATAGTTATTGTCTCTTACTTATTTAGCTTGTGCTGTAGCCGCTTTTATTAAATAAGTTGTGCTTAAATGACACAGTTTCTGCTTGTTTCCGTGTTAATCGAAATCCTGCAGATATATGACCCACCTTACGTGAAAATAATTATTATTTAGCAATTTCCTACAAGACAGAAACATATCTGCGATAAAGAAACCTTATTAGTGAAGAAGTATAATATGTCAAAGACTAATACATCTATCACGTTTTGTTTAGACACGTGTCTTGATCAGAAACCATGTAACACAAGTCATAAACAATAACTATATTTTAAAGTCAAGTTTCGCATTTCATAAATCTTGGTTATAGATCACTCATCCGCAGCATGTCCCCAAAATGATATGTACTTACCAAAAATGCTTATAAAAATTTACCAACTAGCAAACATTTGCATTGGAATATTTTTCCCAAATTGGAAAATTCTTCGTCGTCACGTAAATTTTGTCAATATTGTGACGTTGCAACATGAAACGTATCATGCGGTGTTTAGAGACCTTGACAATGTGTATGTATTATTAAATAAATGCTTATTACCTTCAAGGTTGGTTGTGTTTTCAAATCGAATTAAAATTTTTGGCAAAATTTGCAAGTACATGAACTTGACCTTGAGTACAAAAGCGACAATAATGTTATGACTTTTTTGATAAAAGCGCTTTATCACAAAGTAGATTAGATTTGGTATTTATGTGGTACAAAAATTACTTATTGTTTGACGTAATGTGGTCGCGGTATGAGAATACGACGTGGGTTAACTTTTGTCTCAATATTGCATCAAGAGTACTTTACTAAAAATCTGCATTATAAAAAAAAACTGAGAAAAACAGACAAGCTCACAGAAATAATTAACGATTTTTAATAAAAAAAAATAATTAAAAAATAAGTTGATTAGACAGGTAATTATTCAGATCATAATCCTAAAACTGACACTAAAAATTTACGGGTTTGTTATTGTCCGTATTTTTTTAAACCCGAACATAAAATTAATTACAGATTTAAATTACCTACATGAATTATTATTTTAAAATTCGCTGCAAAATTATTTTTACAGACATTCTGGCTGTTTGTTTCATATTATATTTTTATGTTTGTACCTCTGTTGATTTGCCAAGTACTTGTCAAGTTATATGCTCGATTGATGTTTCATAATATTCAACACGAGTTATCCACGCGGAATTTATACTTTACAATTTTTTAAATCTTTTTAATAAGCACTAATTCACATCAATACTCGCTTATAAAGGTTTTAACACTACTTTTCCACAGCTGCTCAAACCCATTCTTATTAGAACTGTGTTAGGACATTATTTGATCCATTCCTTATCACTAAATTGTTTATTTCCTATTATCAACAATTTTTTGATCCACCAAAATTTGTACTCATTTACCCGCACTGTTCTTGCATGTTGCTTTCAAATTAATTTTCTGATAAGGACCACTAGTAACCCTTTGTTATGACTAGCACAGCCATTGATAACATGAAAAGTCAATTGGCATCAGCATGTCTGGTTTATCGTTTGATGTATTCGAATAAAAATTATCAGCAATTTGAAATGATGTTTCCTTGATTTTATTTTGGAAGTAATATCAAATTTTTCTCTTCATTAATATTCTTCAACTTAACTTGTCAAGACAAAATTTATTTGACTGTTTGATTGATTGATAACAATTTGAATTGTCAGACGAATGAAATTATCCTTAAAAATATTATTTAAATATTTTTTCAGCTGTCAAGAATAAACGAACTTCCTTTATTTCCACATTGAATAATTTTTCAATGTAATGTTGCTGTAATATTTATTTTAAGAATAAATATTTTAAAATTATACATCATAATTTGTTTAAAAATATACAGGGTGTTAGCTCGTGCCCCAGGGGAAAATGACAAGTGATACCAGGAACATGGAAAAAATGTTTAAAAAATTTAAATCTAAAAATTTTTTACATCTATTTTTTCACATTTGACCTTTTTATGTTTTTATTGTTACCCATAATTTTGTATATGTTTTTTATAATTATTCAGTAAAGGTACAAAAATTTTGCCAATGAAACCCACAAATAACGTTAAAACAAAGTTACAGTTCAGGATATAGCTTCTTTGTTTCCTTTTCTAATAGCATGAATTATTTTTCCAACAGAAACAAATACAAAATATAAAATTTAAACTCCCATAATTTCAAAATTTTTATAGATAAAATTTGTAAAATATTTTTTCCATGTTCCTGGTATCTTACCTTTTTATCTGGGGCGCGAGTTCTGAAACACCCTGTAATTACAAAAACAAAATTTAAACTACGGTTCATATTAGAAAACTCCGAGCACTCCGTCGGTATAGTTGCCCAGAAAGATATACCTACAGATGCGCCAGAACTCGTGTCCCAGTGAAAAATGCCATATAAGGTAAGATACCAGGAACATGGAAAAAATGTTTATCTATAAAATTTTCGAAGTTATGAGAGTTTAAATTTTGGACTTTGACTCTATTTATTTCTGTTGCGAAAATAATTTTCCAATTTTTTTTGCTACAGACTATTAGAAGAAGAAACAAGGAAGCTGTATCTTAAATTGTAACTCTGTTCAATGTTATTTGTGGCTTTTATTGGCAAAATTTTTGTACCTTTACTAAATAATTGTAAAAAACATATGCAAGATCATCAGCACAGAACACCTACAAAATAGAACGCCTACTTAATGGTTTTAAAAAGTTTCTTTGTGGTGTCATCATACGTCCGGCCCGTGAACTAGAAAAGGCGGCAATTTTGAAAATATGTTTTTTTTCAATTTATTATTTTTTATTAAAATTAAATCAAAAATGTTTTAGTCAAAATTTTATTTTTAAAATGCAATCACATTTTTTATATTATTTTATATAAAACCACATTTTCGATAATTCTACATCTTCTTTTTGTGTTGTGGAAAAAGACAGATCAATAGTGGGATTGCTAACTTCTGGTGAAAAATCAATTTTCATCTGATCTGAAGAATGTTATGGGTTGAGAAAATTAAGAATTAAAACCTAAGTTTTAAAATCCCACTTTTGGTACCGACACCGACGACGCATGTTTCCGCAACTCCTCACTGTTATATTCTTACGTGTATCTTTCTTTAATAAGCAAAAAGTTAGAAAGCAATGTTATTATTTAACTGAACTTACCTTGACAAATATTAACAGAACGCAATGAGTTGGGGAACAGACTTTTGAACACACTGGAGCTCTTAATTTAGTCTGGCAAAAAGTGACTCTTTTTTCGGACGCGGAAACCGAAAGAGAGGCCCAGATTTAAATGGGAAGCCCACCACAGCAAAACAAGTTCGTTTGTGGAAACTCATTCTAAACAATTAGCAATGATTATCGTAGATTAGTACAAAAATCAATTTTACCTCAAATTCCAGGAATTTAGTTTACAAACAAGACTCAATTTTGTGTTTTTTCATTGATTGCGTTGACAGTTCAAATTTTGAAATCATGACCAACTTGTTTCAAATTTCAATCCCGCACAATTCACGCCGATAAATTAGATTTCTTTTTTTTTATTATAAATCTAACAAAAAAGCTGGAACCTAAATTTGTTGTTTATGTTGTGTGTCAACACCTATCGTCTACCTTTTAATGAAAATTTAAAATAAAAGTAACATTCGCAAAAAATAAATAAACTTATTATGAGAATGCTAATCGCGACCTCTGACGGCCGGACCAGAACTAAAATTTATCGAAAACGGTCTGGGCTATACTAGTCGGCTACCCCTGATCATCAGTATCATTAGATAGACATAAAAAAAATGTCAAATGTCAAAAAATAAATGTCAAAATTTACCCTGTATGTTGGTAACAGTTTTATGTTAGGGTGGCCATATACGTAGTAAAGAATGAATCCCACAAAAGGTTGTATCTTTCTTGCGACTCTTGCTCAACATTTTTACATTGGCTGGTAAAGGCCCTCACAAAGTGATTAGTGCGTCAAAATTGTAAAATTGCTATATCTTTAGACGAAATAAGTATAACATTATTTTTCTCTATATTCTTCAATATTTACAACATAATTTTAAAATCACAGGCTACCTTGGTGGCAAATTTAATTATATAAGTATTTATTGGGTTTAATTTAATTGGTAACCCATGACACATGCAACACTATCTTCCAAAACAGGGTTAAGTTTTTTTTTAGATTTTTTAGATACGTTTCTCCAACAACAGGTAATTTTTTTTAAGTATTTTCAAATATGTTCATTAAAAAAGTTTTAAGTAGGCTACCCAGTATATCTTTATTAAAAATTGCAGTCACTAATGATTTATGATAATTTTATCGAGTTTCTAAATGATTATTCGTAAAGCCAGACTTCTCAAAACTTATTTAACGGAGAGATAAATTTAAATCTCGGTTAAACCATGGCAACATCAGTTAGACAACGCTACCTTAGCAACAATTACTATTACTACAATTACTAAGGTTTAATCGTACCAGAAATCGGGCATAAGATCATTGGAAGCAAACATCTGCGTTGACTTTAATTTTTTTTTTAAGATTAAAAGATTAAAGATTTTTAAATCTCACATTTTCTCTACATTATTTAATTTATTTCAAAATTGCAGGCCAATATGATGGCAAATTGAATTGAAGTGTTTTACGAAAAGCTGCATTGATTAGGTCTGTCATGGCATAATCAACTTTTTTTTTCAAAAAAGACTTAACTGTTTTTAGATATTTTTATTTTTTTGGTATATGAAGTTTTGGTATAGAAAGTTTCAGCTAGATCACTCTGTACCTCTCATATCTCCCTATCAAAAACAGTGATCACAATTATTATTTTTTTATCAAGATACCAGGTGACTAAGAAAATTGAAACAAAACAAAAGATTTAGAATGACTAGAAGTCTGATTAAATTTTCCATCACTCTTACTCATAACTGATCTATTTTGTTATTTCTGAACTCAGTTCGCTTAAATCCGAGTTAAAAATATAAAATTAAACAAAACTAAAAATATATTCGTTCAAAATTCGTATCAATCTGTTTAGAAACATTTTCATTTTGTATTACAATCCGTTCCGGATTCAGTGTTGCTACCAGTCCAATAAACAGAATTAACAATTGACGTCCGCATAACTTATTTCCGAGTTGTCTAATTCATTTTTAAAAGTGGAACTTGTTTGCATGTTTTTTACTTTTATTTTTAGAGAATCTAGTACAAAGAAGCTTTTAAGAAAATTTATTGCTTATACGTAAAGTTCAGTGACACTTCTTTCTAATAAAAAAATTTCTGTAGATAAAATTTCGCAGGTGTTTCGGTGCACAAATGTCACGACAACATCTCAGATTTATTATTACAGTTACCAGTTTAAAAAATAATTAATTTTATCATTTTGCGATTAAATGCAGCGAATTTGTATTGGAAATCACGCAACCGTGTTCAAATAAATAGAAAAACTTGTTGGGTAACCGATTTGTATTGTTAGGTTGGAAACTAATTTGTTTCGTATCGATTGACTAAATTACAGAGTTTAATCAGTTGCGGCAAAATAAAATATGATTAGGTGGTGACCTAGTAATCTGTCGCGTGATCTCAAAACCTAGATCACCACCTTTTTAACTAAAATCGCCTTAAGTTGGCGCTTGTGTTCGAAACTATTTTAATTTATTTTTGATAACTGTCCAAATTTTAAGGGGAATTTAAAATCCTTCCTATATTAACTGAGCCATTAGTATTCGCTTTTTCTATAAATAACGACTGCAAGTACAAATGAAGGTGTAACTACATGTGTTCAAAAAATCTGGCCATCCACCAAATTTAATTTCACAATGCGAAAGAATCCTGCAGTGAGCCAAGTGTCCCTGGATCTCGTTTTGACGTTTTGACACTTCACTGTTTAGGTTATAAGAAATCTCAAAATGTGATATCCAGGGACTTTAAGATTATTCAAAAACCAATGCCACGAAATAAATAACAATAATGAGTGAAACAATAGGTCTTATTATTGTTCTTATTATTGGTCTCATGGCCAGGCGTGGCAAAAAATACTAGTAGATACTCAATTAGCGTATCCACTCTGAGGACAATATAGCGACGTGTTGTTCCATTTTAATTTTTACGATGTTTGAGTAAAAAGGTCGCATTTTGGCAAATATTTATCTAAACCTAATTGAGCGTAGGCATAATGTGTAGCAGAGCTCGAGTAATGATTCAGTTGGTAAAAATGAAACTGTTTTCAGCTCGAAATGTCTCCGGTTGAAAATAACCCAAAACTTGAACATTTCTCAAGTTAAAAATATTGCAGTCGCGCTTGTAAGTGCGCAATGAAAATTTCTCTCAAAATTGTCACATTTCGTCAATCACATTGTCAGACAAGGCCTCAAATGACGTCACAGTGTGTGCGTTCATTCAAAACAAATAACCACGTGAAAAAATGAAAAATTTTGCGACTGGATCATCGTGAAACAATTCGGAAAGGTTTAAAATGTGTTGCTGTGTTAAAAGATCAAATATGCAAGAGTTGCAAGTTGTTCTTTTAAAATGATAATATATGTGTTATTGTTTTATTGTATTTTGCTTATTTTATTTTTCACTATATGCAAACTGTCGATAAACTTGTGCTTACACGTAGGATGTGGATAACAATTGTAATTCAGGCAGTACATAAATGGATACCGTCACGTGTAATAAAACTGATTATACAATAAAGGTGTACGGCAATTTTACTGAGAGTTGACATAAAATACAAATTTTATTTCATATTCTTGTTAATGTATGAATCGTGTATTCTCTCAAAAAAATTATTCACCCATAATTCTAAAACAAAAAATTAATAACCACACTAAAACATAAAACTAATTACCTCAACAATTATCCTGAAGGCACAAATGAAATTTTAAAAACATTTTACTTGTGTATAGTTTTATCATTTTTTCGTAATGCTCATGTTAGGAAAATTATTTTAACATAAGATTGTTTGCTGTTTAAAAATTAAAGTCGAAACATTGCCGATGCAAAATTCACATTAACTAATGACAAATAATGAAAACTAGGAATATTTCAGTATACTCATTAAAAAGTACTTTTTAATAATTTTAAAAATTCGTCTAAAGTCTAAACCGATGTCAAAAATTGAGTTATTTTTTTAAAACTACGTTTACATTTTATAAACAGAAAATTTTAGATGCTTCAGAAAAAATTTTCAAAACTAAAACAGCTAAAAAATTTAGTTTTATGTATTCATTTTATTTATGTTTAACCATTTTATTAAATTTTTTAGTCTCTAAAAAAAATATCTATTTCAATAAATTTATTTGTGTATTATGTAAGGTGAACAAAAAGTACCTATGGAATCGAGCTTTTCTTTAATATTTGCCTTTAGAAAATGATAATAAATATTAAAGTGCTTTAAAAATGAGAATAAAATTTTGTTTTGTTTTTGAGTTTTGCGATTGTTTTTAAATGGTAATTTCTTTATCGACAAAAATTGAATAAAACATATCCTTAAATAAGCAACAAAATTATGGAATAATCTTTTCAAAACTGAAAATATTTTGTTTTGACAAAAATGCACGAACAAGTCAATTTTCTTTTTAAAAAATACAAAATTTTTAACTTAATTTAAAATTCGATAAATCTTTTAAAGTTCGAGATGAGAAAATCCAAAATATTAAATATGTGTATTTTACGTAAAATCTTCGAAAAAAAATAATATCAACAAAAAATAAACATACAATTTGAAATCAAGTTGAGAATTTTGTTTTTAAAAAGAAAATTGACCTGTTCCAGCATTTTTGTCAAAACAAAATATTTTCAGTTTTGAAAAGATTATTCCATAGTTTTCAGTTTTAATACATAAGATTCCATAATTTTGCCGTTCACTGTTTAGTCTTTGTAAGAAACAGATTTTATAGCAGATTGCCATATGAAAAATTTTTCTACAACTCAAAAACAAAAAAAATGAAAAATAGTTATTTTTGAGAAGCGTCCACATTTTTGTCATTCATCAGTCAGTTTTTTCAAAAAATAAATAGTTTTGCAAAAAATATTTAGTTCTACTTTCTGTTCACCTGGTAGTAGGTAGTATATAGAATGTCAACTTTTTCGGTGCATTATTTAGTTATTTAAATAACTAACTTACAAAATTTGTGGAACACTATTTTTGCCTATTTTTTTTTACATTCTTTTAATCAAAAGTAATTTAAAGAAGAAAAAAAGAACAACTATAGAAATATGTATAGTGATGTTAGGTTTTGTTGATTTGGATTTTCCCTTCTTTGGCACTCTTGGTTGGTCATTAGAAAAACAGTACTTAATTAAGATCCCTTTCAATAAATGACCACCCTGTCGCCTGTGGCAGTGACGCAATTAACATATTGACAATGGGATTTACGGTAATGAATATTCATTTACCCTCTACCTTAGCAATATCATTAAAAGCACTCAGCGATAGGTAATTAAGGTAGAAAATTCCCTCACTTTGAAATTTTTCCATCATGAAACAGATTTGGTTTCACGTCTTGCATCAA